GATTGATCTTAAAGAAATTTTATCAAAATCGGTTCAGTACTTTAGTTTTTTTCAAAATTAATGGTTTTGCCACAAGTGAAGTCGGTTTTTTGTAGAACATAGTCTTATATATAGTAATATTGAAATATGTGTATGTTAATACTATCGGGAAACTCTGTACTAAAGTCGTCTGCATGCTTATCTTTATACCATTCGTGTTTCTGTCATGAAGAAATTATGCTTGTATAGCTGACTTTCGATTTGAAGGATAGGATAACAATGATATTACAGGGTACGGAGGCATAACACCTTCAGTCTTTAGAAATGGTTACGGATGTAGGGTACCATAGTCGTCACTGTGTATTCTTGATGTTGCTCGTGTATGTAGGCGATAGTTGACACTTTCCATCAAGTACCATACGCTTGTTTTAATGTCGATTTTCATAAAATAATAGTTTAAAATACCTCGATATGCACATTTAATTTCTATATTTCACACTAGTAAAAATATCAGTTAAAATTAAATCTTCAGGCGTCTGCTAAATAACAATAATTCGCTTATAGTTTCCATTTATAGGCAGTTGATGTTAAATTTAATTTTACATAATTAAGTATGGCGATTAAGTACAGGTACTAATAATAGCTATAAAATTCAATAAACTTTCTAACTTATTATTAATTTGAAGTAGATACATGATAAATATGAATTTAAATAGGTACTTATCCCATGTATCTTACAATGACTTTTGAAGCGGTATTTTATGCTGGTCATGGATGCCTCCTCGTAAGAAGAGAGTTTATCTATTATTGAATACTATATTGGCTGAAAATATGAACAAAAGCAATAATATATAGTAATTGTGAAATTGTTTACGAAGTGACAAATATTTTAAGAAAAAAAATAATTAACTAGTAAATGCATCGTGTTTGTAAACATTCTCAATTTTTTTTCCTATATTGAACCCATATTTCTTTGGGAAAAACCAATTTATGCTTTCACTGATAAAACACTATGGTTTCATCTTATGTATCTCGTTACAGACACTGTTGATTTTCATCGTGCTGGTTTGCCTTATAGGCTGGCCTCATGCAGCAACCGCAAAAACTGTATACAAAAGGGATACGATACAAGACGCTCTAACTAAAACGGATCCAAATGAAGGAAATGTACTTAGTAATTTACAGTCATCCAAGTTTTTAAGCTTCCCGGACTTTTTCAGCAGTTTATCTAGTATATTAGGACAGAAAGGTGATTCGGACTCTAATGACGCTTCGACTCCGAAACCAGAAAAGGAATAATATTTACTCGTACATCGTTCACCAAGGGGAGAAAAGAACAAATTGCAAACGAGGAAGGAATGTTGGTTGTACCTAAACCATCCCCTAAATGATAATTTGCTATTAAAAATAATAACAAAAAAATATATAAAATTTTATCTCAATAAAAACTCTGGTGTTGGGCAAAATTATTTTGTTTTAATAATCCACATACGACTATGTATAAAAAATATTCATATATTTTAAATTGTAACAAATAAATACCTATTTTATATAGTATAGTATTATATTATCTGTACTTCCACTATACAAAATTACCTCGCAGCAAAGTTTTAATATAACGTAAATTAATAATTTTAACAGGCGCTTCAATTGGTGATATTAGAAACCATAAATCTTCAATAAGAAAAATATGCCATTACTAACTTTTTAAGTCTACACCAAATCGAAAAATATTGCTTTAATTTAAGGCGATATATTAAACAAAATTACTCATAGCATTCATACGTATCAATATTTATAATACAGATGACTAATAAAAAGACTATCTAAAACAGGTAAGAAATATTCGGTTATTTTTCGTAAGTACACGCGAACATTGTTTGTGTCAATATTATCCATAAAATATTTACGCTTTTTTTTACAATCTAGAAACTCATGACATACTAAGACAACTAAGTAAAAGCAATTTCGTAACCTAAATGTACTTGTAACAAAGTAAAGAATATTGGAATAACCATATGACGCCACTGATAATTGTTCAAACACTTTAAAACCAATTTCGCACAAAAGATAAACCAATACTTGTAAGTTACAATTTCCTTTCTACTGATAATACTAATCGGTATTTGTGTCTATTCTGAATATTATTTAAAGAATCACAACACTACCTCTCACTTCAATTCAGCTCAGTTTATCTAAGTAACAAAACATTGGAGCAGTATAAATATGCATTTTTTACTGTACCTGATATTTATATTCTTATTTACCCTGGTACATACAATTGAACTTGAAAATAGTGATAAATTTAGTACAAATGTATACGAATACGTCTGGCAACCGATTTTAAGTCCATATGGAGACCGTTCTAAACCAATGAAGGAAGGTCCTAAAGATGAAAACAATAAGTACTATAATGCTGCAAATATTGGTAAACCTTACATCCCGACAACGTACTTTACTGGCTTGTTTACATACCCTTATTATATTTATGGAGATCTGGCGCCGATGTATCAACCCATGCTTCTTTATACAGACAATAACCACTATGCGGCAAAAAAGGAGAGCAAAGAACAACCATATGCTAGTTACGAATACTACAAATGTTAAATTGAGGTAACAAGTAACGTATACATTTATATGCCAATGTGTAAATTTCTGTAATAATCGTATATATAATGTTATCTGTTATATAAATAAATGAAATATATATTTCTAAAAAACCGTTTTTTCTTCCTTTAATTATCTATCCACGACTTCGCTCACATCAGTCAGTACATACTAGTATATAGTAAGTTAAGTAAATCCATTCAATAGATCTTGCATGAAAGCAAAACAAATATCCATCCATCTATCCATCCTTACAAACTTTCGAGTTTATAATATTAATAGAGAATTCGCGTTAATAAAATTTCAATAAAAAAAATAATTTAAGACACAAGCTATAAAACCACGCATTCATATGTATAAAAGGTGTAGGCCAAAAGGAAAATCGTCCATAATAGTACAAAAATATTTGTACAATATATTAACACGTATATAGCTATATCTAAATCCATATGAAAAATTACTCCGTATTTTCGTACTCATATGAATAATATTGTGTTTTTAAGGTTTCGCACGTCACTGCTATTACACAAGTATATATTTGCAAAATTAGTTCTTAAAGTTAAGACAAAAAATAAAACTCTACTGTCGTTTTCGATTATAAGTTAAAATATAGACTTAAATTAAGACAGTGTTCCACAAAAAAACCGACATTGATTATGTTATTTTAAATTGAAAACTAAACTAAACAATTAAAAATTTCTATGTTACCAATCTGTAAGTATATCCTTTCAGATAAAAAAAAATCCAAATCGGTTATAACTGATTGTGTTATAAGGTAATAAACAAAAAATATAACCGAATTGAAATAGAACCTATTTCTTTTCAAAGTCGGTTAAAAATACAATTATTAATTTCATTTAATTAATTCATCACCATCATTTCAACCATGATCTGTCCACTGCTGAACATAGGCCTTCCCTTATAGATAGCCATAAGGAACGAGGTATTTGAGGTCGTCACTCCATCTAGTGGGGGGTCATCCTACACTGCGTTTGCCTACATAGGGTCGCCACTTAAAAACCTTTTTTCCTTAATAATATTAATTAATTAATAAAATTATTTGCAGACAGTTAAAATAAAGAAATAAACAAGAATATAATTTACTGCAGAAATAAACAATAACGTGTTATGTGTGTATCTGTTAATATTGTAAAAATTTATAGATTAGCTTTTTAAAAACATCCCTTAATAGCAAGAAAGAAAATTAAGACCAACGGAAAAACATCCGTTCCAGTAACATGTTCAATTTTTTGTACAAACATATGAAAATTTTTAAAATTTATTTTTCAATGATTTCAACTGTTCTAATTGTTGAATAGATTACATAAGAAATGTTTAAAATGTTCGACTGATTAAATAAAAGGTTGAACATACTGGTACGGAGAGCGGGAAACCCTCAATTCTCATGTTTACTTTACCAACGATATACTAATTGAATAATAATACTCAGGGATTGTACAATTTGACGTTAAATCTTACAAGTTTTATTTATTGATAAATTCTAATAGGCAAAGGAACTCAAATATTCATCCATTTTTTTAATATTAATATCTTTTAATATCTATGTACTGAACTGGCAAAAATTTTTACTACTTTAAAACATAAGGATAGTTCTTAGATACGTATTTATTGATTATGTTTATCCTTACTAATTAATTAAATTGATAAAAAGTAACAACGCCTGCCTGCCTGTTTTGATTATGTTCATGACGTTGTTCATGTCTATACATGAAAAACGTCATGAACATAACTAAAACATCATGTTACCTATGGCCCATTACGCGTTGCCACTCCTGAATTCTAAATAGTTAGAATTCCTGTATCAGATATTGCACTGGCTATCTTGGTAAAATGGTGCTAAACATAGGTCAAATGCTAGTATAATATAGCTAAATTTAAACACTACCACTATTCTATATGAACAACAACGCACAACGGCCCAAATGAGAGGCTAAGTGCGGAAAACAGAGTCTTTCTTACATTCTATATGAAACATTATTGTTGTACACGTTCCTATTGTAATGGTAACATTACAACAGGAAATGTGTAAACGTAATATAAAACAAAAAATATAAACATATTCAACTTTTATTAAATAACTTTTTTCGTGTGTATATTACGTTACAGGCTACGTTAGCCAATTCTTAAAAAATATTTTTGCAATCGGCAAGGTTTACTCCCATATTGGTGTCGTATTTATTTTATAACTATTAGTGTTTTTTTTTTGTCTCAAAATCACATTCTTAACTCAATTAAAATCTCTCGTAAACCATAAATGTAAAAGTCTAAAAATTATAATCTAATTGTAAATTGTATTATCGACGCCAATAAATACGAACTTTGAGAACCGTAAATTTCATGATATAATACTGGAAATACACACGTAAAACTACAATATCTATTAGAGTATCATATTTAAACGAAATCTACTTACCACCTATATCAGTTCCTTACTATACGTAGATGGAGAATAGTACGTACCTTTGGTTATTTGAGTCGTATTAATTGTAGAGAAGCAACAATGGCAGCAAAAGTAAGTTAAACTTCATCAAAGCAATAAAAAAATTTATTAGAAAAACCATATGTATAAATTAGTAATTAAGTCGACACATATGATAACTTAAAATAATTATTTTTCAGATTTTCTTAATATCTGCTATTTTGTTCGTACATTTGAACATTTCACAAGCTCAATTTGGTGGCTTTGGTGGTAACCGACCTGGTGATTTTGGTAATAATCGACCCGGTGGCTTCGGTGACAACCGACCCGGCGGCTTCGGTGGTTATCGACCTGAGGCCGGTGGATTTGGACAAGGAGGATTCGGGCAAGGAGGTTTCAGTAATGGTGGATTTGAACAAGGTGGCTTCAATCAAGGAGGGTTTCGCCCTGGAGGAAGAGGTTTTGGACAAGGAGGATTTGGATCTAGCGGACAAGGTTTCGGACAAGGCGGTTTCGGCTACGGACAAGGCGGATTTCCCGGACAAGGAGGTTTTGGTCACGGTGGTTTCGGTCAAGGTGGTTTCAACCAAGGTGGTTTTGGACGACCTGGCTACGGACGCTAAATTAAATAAATTATTAGAAATACACATGTAAAAACTTTTTTAACAATAAATAATAAAAAGTGATTACTATACATCAAGTGTTTTTTAATATTTTTTCACTGCGTTGGCGGCAAATTAGCGCGATTAAAACGTGATGTAGTAATAAAACGAGTCAACAGTTGTAAGAAAAATTCACCAAAACGTACTAATATACCTCTTCTGGTAGCTGATGGAAGCTCTGAATTCACCAATTGAGTTTGATCATTATTTGGTACCAATAAATTCACTCTTGTCGGACCACTATCATAAATAGGAGGTGGATTGTTCAGGAGATTTAAATAAGGATTAACAGGTATAGACTGAGTGATAGCAGTATTAAGACGATACGGCGTAACAGGAGGTGGAGTAATAACACTTGGAACAGATACTATTGGTGGCTCTGATACAGCTCCTCTTAATGGAGGTTGAATAAAATTATTTCGTACGATTGGAGGTGGTGGTGTAATATTCAATAATGGTGTTGAAGATGCGATATTTACTTGAGCAGATGGTATCAGAAAATTAGGTCCTTCAGCAACATTTTCGTAGACAGGCGCCGGAGGAGGAGTAACAGGTACTGGTATGTGTGATACCATTGAGATGGGTGATATTGATGATGGCGATATACTGATCTCATTATTTAACGCTGATGGAAGAGTCACAGGAGCAGGTATCGGTATTATGCCGTTCCCTACGTTAGTCACAAGAGGAATAACAGAGTTTGGCACATTCTGCCTGCCTGGTTCTGCTTGTCTCTTTGTAACAGAATGTCTTCTGCCGAAAGCTCCAAAAGGTCCCCATTTTTCTCGAATAAATGTTATTGGTTTAAATTGAAACGGCTTCAAGGAGATGTCGAAATTTCTCGTAATGCTTATTCCTTGTAACAAAGGCGCACTGTTCACAAACACGAGCCACTGTATAATGACGAATATCGTACATATCTGCAAAAATAAGCGCGATTTTTTATAAGAATAACAATATAATTATAAATATATTCCATAAAAATATTATATTTTCATGAATATACCTGAATTGAACGAGTCATATCGCACTGAGTGTTACCGCAAAAATAAAATATCTAGAAGTAAGTTCTCCATAATAAAACAATTTCGATCTGAATTGAAAGATTAATTAACATAATGGTTTCAAGACCTTTATGTTGTTACAGCAGCACGCTAAGACATCTCATGTTTATAATTATTAGTTCAAGGTAACCCATTATAGCCAACAATAGGTACCCAAATGCCATATAAATCAATATTTTTCCAAGAAGTTAATAACGTTTTACGCCGCAATATTTAAATTCATGTTTTGCCCTTGATTTTCACAAGTAGGTACTAATATCTTTTTTAATTAATATTTCTACCGTTAAAAAACAAACATACGCATCATCTTTTCCAATGAAAATGTTGCTTATAAATTTATATGAACAACAACTCTCACATTATGTCTAAGATTTTATTGTACAAAGAAAGTACAACAACCATAATAAAATTACAATAAATCGACAGTAAAGTAAAATCAATATTTAGGTTGAATGCAACATTTAGTTTAAATCATAAAGGGATATCCATTAATTACAAATTTTTTTTTATTGGAAGTGTTTATTGAAATATTTTTACTGAAAATTCAGATCTGGAGATAAACTAGACTAGACCTAGATAAATATATAACTACAGTAAGTACTCTAGATATGAACTTAATCTATGAACTTTCAAAGACAAAATGACAAAGCCATGAGACAGAGCTAGTAAGAGATATTTGTACAAAATAATATATACCTATAATAATCTCATCCAAGTCAATATAAAACTTTGAACATCGTCTTGTACGATTGTTCATTGATGAGTAAGATAAGTATAGGTAACAATTACCTATGTTATTGTAGTCAATTACACACTACATACATTATCTAGCAATTGTCATGACTGAACCTTTCTATTTCTACTGACAGTATCAACAGTGTGAAAGCTATAGAAATTACTTGTCTAATTACTACAGTATTAGCTAACTTGCAAACAGTCATTGCACAGACACTAAACTTGAAAGGTGTTGAAAAAAGCAGTTTGAGATAATACATAATCATAGAAAAAAAATAATTCATATTAAAAAGAAAAATTGTATTACGTAACATAATTGTGAAAGAACTAGGTAAACTGTGAAACGGTAGTTTATAAAAAGAAATTATTTATGTTTTTTTATAGTAAAAGAAATAAATATAAGTAACCAGTTTTTATATAAAAACTTTGTTTCAACTTAAAAAAATATTGAAACACCAAAAACAAACAAAAAGAATACATAAAATTAATCGAGTACAATAAAATAGTTTAAAATAAAAATTAAAAATAGTTTTATAAAAGTCTTGGAGTTATACAAAATAAGTAAATAATATTACTGAATAAAAAAAACTTTATAATGAAATCTTACTGAAATAAACGCACTAATCGACTAAGCAAGTTGGAATAACTTTATGAAAATAACTATATGAGTCAGGTAAATAAAATTTTTGTTATCAAATATATTTTTTTCTCTAATTGTCTATATCTCCACATAATGAATTTATTTATTTAAGTAAATATTAGTAGAATCTCCTATAGACACGACGATTTAATTATTGTATCAGCTATCCTAAAATATAATTTAGTAATAAAGATTTCACTCCAATGTTAATATAGATGTTTTGATCCTATTTTCTATGATTCACTTTACAATGCACTGATATTTCACGCATCAAACACTATCTTGGTCAATGTCAATTTAACTCTAGATGACGGCATGGTTATTTACTTAACGGTGTAGTAAATACTTCAGCTACTTATACTAATGACGATTTTTATTTTACTAGATATTACAATCTATTTGTCAATATAAATTACTAATTTTAAATAACTATAAAAACAGAACACAAGTCCAATTTTTGCAATTTATGGGTCCAACTTAATAAATTTTTGAGTTCCTAAAATACCAGAAGAAGACTTTGTACAATAGTGGTCTGCGTGAGTACATCTGTCCCATTGATATTTCTGTCGTGAAACAACTGTGTTTGCATAGGCATGTTTCGGTTTGAAAGGTGAAATATAGTAGTAAAATTAAAGGGTACGGGGACATAAGACCATTATCCTCAAGATTGTTAACGCATGAGGAGTACTATGAGAATCACAGAGTATTATGTGTGAGTATTGTGCTGTACATGCACATAAACGATAATTGCCACATTCCATTAAATAAGCCGTTAGCTTGTTAGCTATTCTAAATATGATACAAATCCTAAAGTATATAACCCTGTAGATACATACCAGAAATTTTTATTACTTAATGAGTTTTGATATTGTTTTGAATCTGAACAGCTTCGCTTAATACATTATCAAATTTAATGCATTATCAAAGGTTAATTAACCTTTTTTTCCTTAAAATAAAAATAAAAAAAGGTTAATTTACATTACGAAGATATAAATCTAGATAAATAAAATTAATAACAAGTTTAATATTTAAGGTTATGTCGAAAAGTATCCATTTTTAAACAGCTTAGCTGCAGATAAACATTCTATCTAGATATTATCGATGTAAGTAAATAAGTAACATAATTTTATATTTATATTTTAACTAGTTAATTACCTCTTTGTTTCAGGATAATGAAAATAACAAAACTATATCTAATGATTACCGTCATGATATTCACAGCCAAATGTGAAGCAATATACCTTGATACTTTAATTGAATATTTTGAAACGGCTACCAATGAAATGAAAATAATCTCCGATTACTTAGATGAGTTGTATCCAGAAATGGACGACGATATCAGTCTAATGAATGAGTTATATACAATGTTTGCTGAAAAAACTGAGATAGATCCGTACTATCCGAACTTCGATTCGAAAAAGGCTGGTGACTCGGACACAAGTACGAAACGATCTATAATACGCATGCAATAATATTGTAAGGGATTTACCCTTTAAATGTGGAGGATACCCGCTATAAACAAAATAAAAATACAACCTATATGTGCCTGCACAGCAACATTGTCTGCGTTGAATTTGTATGCCAATAGGTACAAGCGTGTAATTCCTTGTTCTTAGACAAGCATAGACATTTGTTACAAATATACATATATATATATATATATATATATATATATATATATATATATATATATATACAATAACATATGTAACAATAACATCAAAAAATTTATTAAAATTTCTTGAAGTTATTGTTAACAGTCGTATAATAAAGAGAATACAATAAAAAGATTTAACGTTTGACACTTGGTAAAAATCCTTATTTTGTGGTACCTCCAAATGCCAGGAAAATAAAAAATTATAAAGTTCAGCAGTAATCAAAATTATAATTTTCTGCTCCCAATTTCAGTTCAAATCAGTAGGTTTCCGGAATAGATCACGATCTCAGTTGATTGAAAGCGATGATGTGGTCTGAAATGGAGCTCGCGAACCCACGAATAGCTTATTCACGTTTAATTTAAATTAGTGTACATTATATTTGGATGAAAAAACATAAGCAGGGAAAGAGTTCCATTTCTTAGCCATACGCGTGACGAAGGAAACCGCAAAGCGCATCATGCACATAAATGGTATGTCTACAGTGGTATATCGCTCCGTCTGATCATTCGATGTCGAGAGGGTGAAAGAGGAATCAGTTAATGTAAACGTTGATTAAACAAATAAGACTTTTTACACGCTCTTATTTATTCACATTCAGAACACTAATTTCAACGGAACAGTAGTCGGATATTATAAGATTTTGCAGAAAGAAAAAAACAACTATTGCAATCATATCCAAATTTAAATGGAACCACTTCAGACATAAGCTGCATTTATTGCAAATCAAAATCAGTGAAGATATCGCGTAATATATCCAAAAACAAAGGAACTGAGAACCTCATTCTTTTAAAAATCGGTATAATACAAATACACAACTGCGTGATAATACTTCATTAAAAATATTTTAATAGTAATAACTTTTATTTTATTTAAAAATCTCGATGGAAATTAACTAAAATTAAAAATGATTATGAGAACGCCTACTAAAAATACAATATCAAATGTAATTGTTAAAAATTAAAATCAATTCATTCTTTCAGGCGTGTGCATTACTTACAAGTCTTCTAATAATATTTTTTTTATTATTTTGATATTGAATTGAGAGTTCTTGTTTTTAGTATATGTTTTAGTATAAGATAGTTGCGAGTAATTATATTACTAGAAATGCGAGGCTCTTTATTTTCTATAAGATAAATTTAGGAAATCATGTTCAGGAACTTCATAATTTGCTCCCTCATCGCTCCTTCGGCATCAAACTTCGAGATAGGAAGAGGGTTTTCACTTTATAGATAAATAAATATTTTATTGATTAAACTATACATTACAATAAAATCAATTAAATTTTCTTCCTACTTCTAAATTATATAGATATGTATATATTATCCATACAGATGTAAACTAGTCCTTTTTAAGACAAAGTAAAAGTTACGCCTGACAAGCGTGGCAACTACTGGCAAACCTCCCTTTATGGGGGAGGCCTATGTCCAGCAGTGAACAGTTAACGGCTGGTATGATTATGACAATAAATGTTAAAAGTTGTAAGGATATGTTCATGTGTAGACGAGTCTCATCTTTAAACTTATTATCACTTCCCATCAATTAAGATGGAGGTCAGTCGCTAACTCATTAATAACAAAAAAAAATATGTACCTACTACAACAGCGAAGATATCCTTTTCCTTACTAACATATTAAACATGAAAGTGAGGTTGTTTATTTGGTGCCTCTTAAAACTCTAACGACTCGACGAATCACTTTAAAATTTGATACATGTGCACATACTATGCGCAGTATGTGTACCGGCATAGAATAAACCACTCTCTGCTTTCTCGTGAGTATCGAAAGAGGCAATTTATGGTCAAGGGATGGGCAGCAGAGACCCTCTTAAAACATCTTTAAAAACCTAACTGCGGTTGCTAAACCATCTACCAAGCGTGACAACTATTGGCAAAGTTCCCCTTTTGGGGATGGCATATGTTCAATAATAGACAGTTAATGGCTAAAATAATACACATATAATATGAAACAGAGGACAAAGTATACTTTTATCCTGGCTAGTAAATATATATAGGTATATCCCGACAACAGAAATGAAGTCACGGTTAAAACTTAGTGAATAATAATTTTAAAATAATCTATGTTTTAAGTGTTGTAATTTTATTTTAAATAATATTTATTACATGTCACGGCACACAATACGATCGCGTATTTCTACGCATCTTGTCACCATTCGCAGGCGTTTTGTTGTGGACTCATATTGTAAGTGTTGCTCCTTGGAAGATATTTGATAGCTGTAAACATTCGTATCCTTTTCTCTCTCTGACGGTAAATCGTCATTTTCTTTTGATGATACAAAATTATTAAATGCTGATGGCCTTCTCTGGTTGATAAAGGGTCCATGAACATATCCACATTCCAATCTGCCACCACGCAAACGACAACCATCAGACAAGTCGACTTTTCGGTCTTTACTAATCGGCCTTCCTACATTCCTGTTAAATCCACAGAGCAATCTATCGTCTAACACATTACAAAGACTACTATCAAAATCATACGGACAACAGCGGTTTCGATGCTTTTGCTGTAACTTTTCGTTAATTGATTTTCCATTCTGTTTTGCATTTACTGCGGTCTTAGTTTGATTCTTAGTTAATATTGATGTTACTCCATTGTCATAAATACTTTTATCCCTGCAGTTATTGGCTTCAATTAGGGAAAACAAAGTGAAGTAAATCTGTAATTTTACTTATAATTCAATAAAAAATGCGATGTAAATTTTGACCACACTATTTCTCTCTTGCGTTGAAACTACTTAATGATGTTTTGAGCCGATGTCCGCAATTAGACGTGTTTGCCTCTAACTTGATGGAGTTTCATCGGATGATCACAAAATGTTTGTGTTCAGAGATTTAAGATATAGATGTTATTATTGTTATGTGATTTAAATGTAATTAATAGTATTCCATTTAATTATACGTATGTGTTACTGTACTGATGCTTTCCTGAGTAAACATATTGGGAAACTGTAAAGCTCACTCAGTTAATTACATGAATAAATAAATTTCATTAAAATGTTTAAAGTATTCTTATGAAAATATAACAATTAATAATTATAAAATAAACGAAAATATAGATAACGATTAATGCTGTGCTCTAATTTTAGTACATTTTTGTGGCAAAATTGATACGCAAATAAACCAATTACAATTATAATCATCAAAATCGGTTTAAAACTAACTTTCCATAACATACACATAAGAACATATAGCTTGAAAATATCAACCTCTGATCTTGAATGTCCTATCTCTTAGACTGACCGATTAACATTCCGACAATTCAAATGATTCTACCTTACTGAAATCGTGTATGCTTATTCCAATTTAATATTTCATGTAAATGATTATCTTTAAAGTCAAGACGTTTTAAATTATAAATCAACTAACCATGATTGATTTTACATCGCCTCCCAACATTTCTCTTATCAAGAATTCACTAAACTTAACCACTGCAATTAAACGAATGTATGCATCAACAAATGTATGTACCGTTGGCAAAAACGTGCAAACATTATTTCATAAATAAAATTATTAATGCTACTTGTATAAGTATAGCGTTCTTTTATTTTAAAAATCAACCCAAATCAGCTATTAATATCAGTAACGGAATCTTCAAATATGAAATTGAATTAGTCTTATTTAAAAGTAATTATATCCTAACTACTTTTAAATAAGGCTAATTCAATTTCATATCTGAAGATCCCGTAACTATGGCATAGTAAAACAGACAGCATTCGCATAATCATATCATGCGAATGCTATCTGTTGGAAGCCTCGTTGGCAACTGTTAAAACTGTTTGCTTACTTTTCTTTTAAAATTTTTATTATAGTTGTATCTTTCATTTGGTTCTTGACCACCGGGACTAGATACAACAACCCTCGGTATATTAATTAGTTTTCCAGATTTAGTATTAACCAGGGAATTGTTCAATTTGCTTTCTTTTATTTTTAAATATTTTAAAGCATTAGTTGTTTTTGAATTGTTCCTAAAAGTTGGATATATCTGGTGATTACCATTCTTGAGAAATCGTTCTGATAACTTCGATTTTCCTTTATGAGCACCTACTAAATTAGTGTCATTAAAATTTTTAAACTTAATACTTATGCCTGTCTTTGGCAAATTAATTTTATTGGATATATCGCTCCCAAATTTTGCACAATTCTTATTCTTCTTTTTCTTATCAAAAATATTTAAAGAGTTCTTTTTTACAGATTTAGTAGTTGATCGTGCCTTTTTAGGATTATCTTTGTCAGTAGTTTTTTTTTAGATATTTCACAGTTTTACGACGCAGTTTATTATAATTTTGCATTCTTGCATTATGTCAACTAACTTTTTTTATCAAGATTTTTGTTCTTAAACTTAGATTTACTAAATGAACCAGATAAAGATAAATATCCTTTTTTATAATCATTAACAAAATTTTGCAATATTTTCCCTTTAGAGCCAGTAATTGAAAAAATCTCTATCAGTTCACTGGTATTCTTTCCTTCAATTAATTGTGTATCTTTAATAGATATATTTACTTCTGATAGTTTTTTCTTATTTCTATAAGTGTCATAATACTAGATTTTCGTTTAGTAAATGGTATGAGTTTGTCTTTAACGCTGCCAAGATTTCTTTCGGCAATTTCAAAATCGTCCTAACGCGGAACGAGAACACCAAATATTTGCTTTTTAATACATTTTTACTCTTCTACACAAACATTTACAGAATTTTTGTATCCCAGCACGAAGCCCATACTTATAACAACAAATATCTTGTTTTCTTTTACCTTTTATTAATTTACCATCATTTGCATGTCCTGAATCGAATTAATGAAGGAAGAAGAGACTTAAGAAAAATATTATTTTAATCTATGTAACTACGCTAAACATAAAATTCGAACGTACTTTTCTTCAGACGAATATACATTTCATTGTGAAACTAACGTATTACTGTTACATTTAAATTAAAGCACGTTAAACTTAAAAATTATATTTTCAAGATTGTTATATTATTCGTAATTGTGTATATAATCTTATATTTTTTACATTGAAAAATTGAGTTTATTTTATAAAGTTACTTGGATAAAGTAAAATGAAATCTTTATTTTTTTTAATAGTAAAAGACAGTAAAAAAGAACATAAAAATATTGTAAAAAAAGTTTTTAATAAAACCTTATATCTTTTTATATCTGCTGCTAGCTGAACATTCCACATTTATGCAAGCATGCTACTTATTCATAATTAATATTAAAATTGTTTCACTTGACAAAAAATACGATAATATATCAATACTTATTAATTCTGTCACCGTTGATAACTTGCAGACTATGTTTCAGTTTGAACCAGTAAGGTAAATATCTAATACCTATACCTTTGGTCTATCAAATCTTCATATTTCCAAAATACTAACTACAAATATAAGTACCTAAGTAAAGAACCCTTGTAAAAGTTTTCATATTTACATATAGCAACATCTGCTATACATTGATTAAACATTTAGTTTTTTATTTTATTAATAATAGCAGCACATAATGCCACCAGTACAAGAAATAAAGAATATTAATTCTGCATCCAGTGACCGAATCTATCAGAGTTTATTTGATTTCATGGATCTACAATGCCAATAATATTATCGGTAAGTTATTAAAACTGAACAAACACTTTATTCTCTTTATAAACAATATAGTTAATAAAACAAAACAGCTTATATTAATATTTAACTTGGTTTCAGAAGTGTTTAATTTTTCTAGAAGCTATCATAATAAGTGACTGTGCTCCAAAACTTGGCCCATTAATGATTGATCCATTACTTATAGAAGCCAACGAAACCTTAGCTGTATCGAATTATGAAATAAATTTAAATAATAATACAATAAAAAGAAATATACAAAGAAGTGTTAAAGAAAACAGTAAAGAAGTTAAAAAAAAGTCTTGCTTGGGATACGAATATGATGAAACGAAATGCAGACATGTGAATAGTAGAATACTCTGCGGTTACAATAAGAATATAGGAGAAATAAAAAGAAAAGATCAATTTATTGATTTGGGTAATGGATGTCGAATCCATAGGGATAGAATAGAATGTGGATATATTATTGGACCATTTAAAAGTTTTAGATGGCCTTCTGTAGACAGTAGTGTACATAAAGAATTAAATCTTATAACCACAGGGGCATCTAAACAGGTTAAAGAAAATAAATCCCTAAAAAAAATTTTAATAGAAGAAAATAAAGAATCGGAAAAAATAATAACAGAAAAATCTAACCTAGCATAATATTTCGTCAACTTTATTAAATGCATCTAATAACAGAGAAACAAGGTTTTTATCAAAATTAATAAGCTCCTCTACAAGTACAGTAACATCTAATCCAACAGTTAGACCTAATGAAGAAATCATTACTACTAATGCACCACTTCGAGTATCAAGATATGTTAAAAAACAGACTATATACTTTGTATCATGCAAATACATTACATACATAGATAATTACAGATATATAATTAATGAGGTATGTTTGATAATTGGTATAACATCCTATCAACATCCCACTCCAGATCATAGGTTTTTCCCTTAAGTAGAAGATATTAACTTACCATTATGATATATCGTAATAATGGTAAACTCACTGGCTTTTATTTCTACTTTACTTCTCTTGCACTTTATTGTTCTACTTTTTAAATGACAAATTGCAGTCTTACTCGATTACCACATGTTTTACCATATGCTTGATCATAGAATTAATCTCTATGTATATAGTTTGTACTACGGTCCCATGCTTGACATTTTTTTTAATTGCTTAACAAATAATACCCTATATAGAGAATGTTAGGTACTATCCTTAATCTATGGATAATACTAGTATCACAAAGCATACCTATATAAAATATTAAATATCTAGATCAGCGATCGTCAAGCAGCGGTCACAAGAACCTTGTGGCCCATTGCCTGTTTCGTCAATGTAAACTTTTGTTTTTTACTTTTATTACAACTTCTTAAATTTATTATATTTATAAATATTTTATTTGAAGCAGTCTTCTTTGGAAATACCGTGAGTTATCAAAAAAATTTATTCACATTTTTATTACCATCGGGTTCGATTATCACAATTATGCACAAGTGCCACCCACCTATACTTCATTTCACTAAATGGCCCTTGCCTGTTAAAAGGTTGCCGACCCAGATCTAGATCGTAGAAAATTAAGGATAATACCTACGATATATAAATACTACTCGTATATATAACACGTTATATATAGATATATAAATAATTTTGTCTTAATGTGAATATAATAACAAACAATGCAGCAAAAAATTTAATACCTAACGATAATCTAACATAAAGTACAGAGTTCATTTTTTAGACAATTTTTGAACTTAAGAATTATACGATTGGTTAATAACGATAAATCACACCATGCTCCTCAATCTACGATATCGTGGCACGAGAAACTACCTGAAGACATTATCCAGAACACCCGTATATTAAAAATACGATCTGTATTCCAATATCATGTTCTAATTCATATAGACTAAGATTTAACCCCTCCAGAAACCAAATATCATTAAAATCTATTCAATAGATTTTATGTGAAAGAATAAAAAACATGGGCATATGGATGGCCGTACATCCTCCCAAATTTCGCGTTTATAATAGTAGTAGAATGTTAAGACACGAGATATTTACGTATATCAATCATTAACCGACCATTATCAAACATCGCATTTTAATTAATGTTAGCCACCTCATATGGCGATTTTATTTTGTAACACAGGGGGCAAACGAGCATGTGGGTCTCCTGATAGTAAGTGACTACCGCCGCCCATGAGAACCCACAACACCAAAGGTATTGCAGGTGTAAAAGCATTACTGCCGGCCTTTTAAAAAGGAATATGCTCTTTTCTTTAAGGTTATGATATCGTATCAGTTCGGAATTACTGCTGCTGAAAGTTGATTTCAAAGAACGGTTGTCCGTGGAAAAACGTGCCCTGAAAAAAGGCACGTTGTGTGCGGATTGTACGGTCAATGACAATGTTACTTCAATTACCAAAATAAAAATTATTGTAGTTTATCGTATTACTATTATGATATACTAATCAAGTCTACGACTTAATGCGTGTTACTGGAATATATTAATTGGCTAGAATAAAAGTGGCATACCTATATGTGCTTCTCCATGTCCAATGAGTTTTACTTATACGAAATTCAATAATAACTTAATAAGCCGGTAACAAACAAATTCACTTTCATATTTGTAATATTAGTAAGTACTATGCATTTAATAATTTAAAATGTTATTGAAACTGATTTCTATATGGATGTCAAAGCAATGTGTTGATCATTTTGTCCAAGACATAAGTATATGACTAAAAATTCACACTTATCTGCAATAATGACCGTAATGGTCAAATAATAAGAAATATTATAATTGCCTATTAGTCATTATTCGACCATTTGCATACAAATAAAAAACGTTATAATACCACAGTATACAGAACTGTATATAACAATATCATGTTTTCCACTTGGAATTATTGTCAAACAGCTTAAATTATTATAACCCTGCGGCTTTTTCGAAAGAATTAAAAATAAAGCAAATTCTATTAAAATCATCTTGTTGCATAATAATTATTCATACAGTTTATTACATTTTATCATTAAATTATTACGAAACGCGTATTACAAAATTTGTATATATGGACCCCCAAAATCTTTAATTCGACGCATAGAAAACAAACATTTACCTTCCAACAAACTTAAGATGAATTTGTACCTTTGCATGTAAATATTTTATGGACATAAACATTTTAAGTAAATTCATAAATATATCTCTACATTTTTTTGCAAAAATATGTTTATATGACAATTCTTTAATACTTATACTAATAGTATACTGAACTTATAAAGTGGTTTTCATACAAAAAAATGTTGCACATATATACTAAATGAAGGATAGCTCAGTGTCGGTTATTTACCTGTGATTAGTCATTGAATACGAGTCGAGATGGTATAAATAGGTGTCTCTCGCCCCATGAACACACATTGTTTTGCAAGGACGACAAAATGAACGCCGTAAGTAGTATTTTTATTAAGCGATGGAAAAAAAATTATTTTAATACAGATCAGAGTTGCTAATAAACCAGTAACTTAAAATTTCTACATTAGTTTTAGAAAATAACACGTAGGTGTTTATGCGCAGTATTTTGTAAACATAATCCTAAGACAATCATAATACTATATGTATTGTAAGATTCAATATTTATTTCAGTATATTTAGGCAAACTTCTTAATTGATATTAAGTTAGTAATAAAAAAACACATTTAATCATAAATCTATTGCAGCGAATTCTGTAAAACATTTATTTTAATGTAACAATCATATACATTTAAATATTAAAATATACTGCCACAATATAATATTCAGCTATAAGCTAATTAAAACTAGTTTTCTATGCCATATAATAAATATAAAGTCAACATTATTATGACAGAACGAAAACATATTTCTAAATCTGAATTTGTTTTATCTTTTTCAGTTCATCGGTCTATGCTTCCTATTTTATGGTAGTATAGTATTAACAACTGCATTACCTCTTGAAGAACAGCGACAAATTGAAGCAAATGCTGAAACACTAGAAACGTCGGAAACTCATTGGCCACGTTACGGTGGCGGATATGGTGGCGGATACGGTGGTGGATTTGGCGGTATCGGTATTGGATTTGTAAAGATTGGCGGTATTGGTGGTTTTGGCGGTTACGGTCGTGGATTTGGTGGTTACAGAGGTGGATACGGCGGTTATGGAGGTGGGTGGGGTGGTGGTTATGGGGGCGGATGGGGTGGCGGTTATGGGGGTGGATGGGGTGGTGGATTCGGTTACGGATACGGTGGTTACAGAAGACATTACTGGGGTTGAATTAATAATATCTGAAATAGTATAGGTTTTCTGTGATTAAATTTGTTAATAAAGTAATTACTTCTTGTTTGTTTCTTTAACAACCTCTGACAAAACTGATTAAATCATGGACTATGTTAATAATCAGTACTTATTCTCTGCATATTTACTATATGCTATAAGAATTATTATTATTATTAGAATAAGGAGACAAAAATAATTAGAACATTTATAAAAAAATAAGGTTCTTTTGAAAGTTTTAATAAATATAGTGGTATGTACGAATCAATGTTTTACAAATATACTTAAGTATATACGAAATTTCAACATTATTTTGTTTTATTTTTGTTTTATATTTTGCTTTATCTATGCAAAATTAATTTCTTTTAAATAGATAGCAACTAAAAAGTAGGAATCAGAAAACACAGTTGTACTGTGATAATGTGTGCGTCTGTAGTTACGATTAGTGCGGGAAAATAGAGTTTGGGTACTGATGCGTAATTGAGACGGGATGAGATCAGATCATAGTGAGAGGGAGGGAGTGTCCATACTGTAATTTAATACTATTACTTATACTGTGCCATAAACATTTCGTTTGCACTGTTCCGTATTGAAAACTAAAACACTACTATTTCGACTAAAGGAATAATAATGTATGCAGTTGTACCGGTTTGAGTAAATTTTTCGTCTCAAAACCTATTACCTAATATGCATCTCATATTGGGTTCCGGATTTCATAATCAATATTCAAGAAATCTCAATACAGTATTCGAATTAAAAATGTAATCCTTATTAAACTTTAAAAAAGCAATAAGATAAACATATTTTTCAGCCGATTCCAAAAAGAGGAGGTTCTCGGTTATACAATATCTTCGCTTATTCTAAACCTATTTTAAGGATTTTGTTTTTAATTCCATATTAGTTTCATAGTAATGTCATTAAAATGAGCTCGTATTTTCTTTACGAATGTCAAATCTTGTCAATATAGATCCCATTTTACAATTGAATTTCAACCAATAGGTTACACAGTCATGCTAAGAGTGCCTTGGAAAAGGCCTATGTCCAGCAGTGGACTGCATTAGGCGAATTGTAATGATAATTACACTGTCAAAAATGAATGAATAGATTATGAATTTACTAAACTATTTAGTAATGCACTTTCAATTTCAGTAAAATGTATTTTTTCAATTCAATTCTATTTATTTATTACATTCTACAATATTATTATGAAGGATTGATAAAGTACATTATAAACCTTGTCGGGCACAGCAATTAGAAGCAAGAAGGGCATCGATCCTTAAATTTTCATAAAGATTTCTTTAATTAAATAATTCAATTTCAAATTCATCAATGTAATTAAATTCCAAATAAATTTAATGATTTTAACGATTTTTTTATTTTCATATGTTTTATTTTAATTTAATGCAATTTAATGTAGTTGTTCATATGTATATAGTTATATACGTATAGTTTTAGTTAAGCTTATCTTTGTATTACCCTATGATCCTAAATATAAGTCTACTATAATATTTGATACTGCACCTACCGCTTATAATAGATAAACATTACAAACATTCTCTTTAGTAGATAGTAAGTAAGTAAACTTCCCAATAGGGGGAGAGCTAGCTTCACCAGTGGACAGTTAACGGCTGATACAACGATGAAGTATGTAAAGATTATCCCGTTTCCATACTCATAAGGTTTCTGATATATATAATGCCAATATAGAGAACCCTCCTTGCATAACTAATCAATTCAAATAATTCATGTTTTATTAGTTAAACAAATAATAAATGTGTACATATTATCGATGAGTACGTACAAAGGAAAAACCAATAAGATATATTTACGCTGCTCAAAGATGATAATATGACTATACCTAATCTATATTGATATTATTTTAGAGGTTATGGTCGATCTGCAGTTTATAAAAATTATATAGGTATACCTGTTTATTGTGTAATAGAAACGTCTTGGTGACAGCAATATAATCGAAAAAAGAATAATAAAGAAATTCTATCAACATGTGAAATTGTGTATTTATTTTATTATTTTATTTAACAGCTTTTCCCATGAACTACTATATGTGGCATGTTTTCGCGTGGGAAAACCATTAAATTTGTTTGTATTGGCTAAAGACGGACTGACCAAAAATATTGTACACTACATTGCGCTGAGAGGTTAATAATTGTTTATTTTTTTAATTGCCATAATTATTAGTAAAAATATTAAAAAACAACTATTATCGATGTATATATAGTTATCAGGAATTGTAATTTAATATGTATTTATTACTTTAATAAAGAATAATTTATCTACTTAAATAAAATATACTTTAATTGTTTACAAAGTTCCTTCCTCTTTCAATTGTTATTACATCCCATACTTATCACACATCACACACTTATAATGTTAGCTATTTTTATTAAAGTAACAAATTATTTTCAAACAACTTAACAAATTATAAAGGAAGATGTTAGTTAAAAACCAGTAAATAACAAATACGATAATAATCATATATGCCTAAATTACATGTCATTTGCCAAGATCTTGGAAATTATTCCGTCAAAATCCTTTCAGCTATTTTCTCATGACAAGTAAACAAATAAATATCATTTCTTAAAATGCCAAACTTGTGTTTCACTGCTTACTTAAGGGAAACTTAGGAATTGAAACCTTAACTTTCCTTATAATGAAACTCAATTTAGAGAGTTTTCAAGCCGTATAATTTTATTAACTGTAAATAGTTCTAAAGAAAACTTTACATAGGTAGTCATTTGTTACAATGCAATCTCATTATTTATGATGATTATTATGAATATAAATTATATCATGTAAAATAATATTTAAATTTCATCATCTAATCTACCGTTAGTCTTTTTTTTAGCAACTTAAATACCATACGGAAATAGGTGCATAAACTTTAAAGATGTTTTTCTTATCTTCAAAATATCAAGGACTAGCAACTCGCCCCGACTTTGCACGGGTGCAATGCTGATACTAATTAGCCCTGCCATTACATTACAACATAACATTACAAACCTCTAATATAATCAGTATTCCTCTACTATATTACGCATGTATTATACATATAAACCTTCCTCTTGAATCGCTCTACCTATTAAAACCTCAGATTAAAATCCGTTGTGTAGTTTTAAAGCTCTAAGCATACATAGAGACAGACAGACGAGAATCGACTTTATTTTATACTATGTAGTGATAGTGCAACCTTACGATCTTTATGTTAGTGCATTTTTATTTTGTAGGCCCACACACAGCAATGATTTCTAATATGTTTAAAGAAATGTAGGCTCGTATGATTGTGATGTATGACATTGATGTTTCTATCACAACGGCAACACTTTCATTTGACATTAAAAATTTATTTCAGGTCAAATTTTTAAAATTAAATATTAATATAAACTGTTCACACGAGAACGGGTATTTTTAGCCCTTTTATTTATAAATATATTATTATTTTATTATATATTTTTAATTTTAATTGAACACATTCAACAACTCGTTTAATTATTTAAACATCTGTAATGTCGTTGGTTAAAATATAATCCAGAAAGAGAAATACAGTCATTGGCGGTTCAAAACACAATAGAGCATTAGGAACTTATTTTTTTTTTATTATATATGCTTATACTAAACTATATTATATACATTATATATACTTATTAAGTACAAAATAAATTTAAAGACTCAGTGAAGAATTCGAGTAAAAAAAGAAACATAATAATATTTTTTACCTGCATTTTACCTAAGTCGGTAAATTTTCTTAAACTACGTAGATTTTGTGTAGATATATTTTTTGCATTAATTATAACCCATTTACATTGATTAACATTAATTTATTTTGGGGCATGGCTTCCTAAAGAAGTATATATAGGTCTTCGTTGATAAATAGTCGATATTCTTGCTACAGAATACAAATCGAAACAATGAGAACTGTAAGTAAAGATCTATATAATTTTACTACATTTGCTGAAAAAGTGTCCATTTTTAATTTATAGTACATTACTGCAGCGGCCAGCAACTGAGGCATTGATGGACGAACGTTCAAATGTGGGCCAAGGCGTAGCCGAGGCACACATACGTGAGTCCATATTGATGGACTCACATATGTGTGTGTATAGTTGTGGCCAAGGCTTGTATAGTACTTTTCTCAAACAATGCGTGGAAATCAAATCACAATTTTACTTTCTAAGTTCAATGACGAATAACGAACATTAATAATTTTTCACGCGTCATAATGTTCCTTTGTTTTTTTTTTTCAATAAACAGCTTTCTATTTGCAAGCCTGTTCGAAATTTAAATAAAACTTTTTATTAGTTACCTCCTTGGTAACCATGTTTCGAAGTAAAAGGTCATTTCATTTTTAAATTACAGGACAGATATGAGTTTACATAGTAATTTATCTGGCCGCAAAACACGACAGATATGGATTTTCATACAACTTTTGCCAGCCGCTGCCCGCTTGTATCTGGCCAGTACGGCAAGTTTGATTTATCTCGAAGAAGATTGCCAAAATAATGCTCATATTTCCAAGCATGTTTGAGAAAAAACATATTACTTAGTAATTACCGTGTGACATTTGGTGTACATATGGTGTATATATGAACTTTTTTCTCTCGATGAACAAAATAATTAATAATTTTTTTATACCACTAAGTTGGTATTTACTGTAATTAACTGGTGACCAAAAGGCTGCCGCAAAGAAGATATGTGGTCAACCTGTTTGTTTCTCTCTTTATTATAAATACTCTAGTTATAAGTACTGTCTCTAGATAAACTTTACAATTTACTTTTTTTAAATATTTAAAGTCGTAAATCATAAATAGAAATACACAAATTACTTTAGTTTGTGTTACTATTTAGCCTAAAATTAAGAATTCTTTTTATTATATTATTTCCTAGTAGTGAAGTATTTTTAAGCTATACACAAACTTTCTTTAATTAGGACTCATTGTAAAGTGTTATTACATTTTTCCTCTCCAATTATTGATGACAAAGACACAACAAGAGGTACGCTGCTACCCGTCCCTTGGCCTCCTTTAGTCGCCTTTTATGACACCCACGGGGTGGCCTATTCTATACCGGGACCATGCAGCAATATGCATTCTTTGCCTAACGATTATTATTATATAATTTTTTTAACCAAAGTACAATATAAAGTTTAATGTACAATACCCATGACTAATATAATTCAAATTAAAATATTTTTACAGTATCTGAGTGTTTGCCTGGTGGTGTGCTTCGCCTTAGCATACGCTGCGGCTGCTCCCGGAGGATTAGTGCCGGAAATTGGTGCTATTACATATGGAGCATGGGGAACTGGAGTCGGATTAGGAGGTTGGGGTGGTAGCTCATTGGGCGGTTGGGCTACACCAGTCACTGTAGTAAGAAGCGGATGGAACAGCGGATGGAACAGCGGATGGGGCGGATGGGGCGCATGGCGTTAAAATCAACATTCTTACTAATTATTGAAGATATTTTTTTAATATATAACATCTTTTTTTCAACTTTATAACTTTAAAGTTGTATAAATTATAAACTTCACCAAATGAAATATTTCAAATATATGCAATGTTGAAATTAATTACTGAATTTATTCAAAATTAAATATTGTATGTACCTAATTTAATTATTTTATTGCAATACCTATAATAAATTAATACATCGCCAACATCATCATTTCAGCCATAAATTTTTTACTGGTAAATAGTGAAATCACAAGGTGGGATGGCTAAACACGTACATATAGCACAGAAATGCCGTGGGCACTACAATGAATTCTGTGATGTACAGAGACATGTTCATAGGCAAATACCACTTTTCATTAAACAGACCATCAACTTGTATGCTATTTAAACTTCTATAAAAAATGTCTAAATATCACAAGAGATAATAAGTATGGCAGTAAATCACGATTCACGTTTCTATCTATCTATCATCAAAAATTTGAATGGAACAATAAAAATTTAGTTAGAAAAAAAGAAGTGGATATCTTATAGATATAAAACTCCAAAATATATTTCTAAGGCTTGGCAACGTTTACATGGGTCTTGATGAAAGTCTCGTCTTTTCCAAATTGGTTTACAATTAAAGGAGATAACAAACATAAAACAAACATAAAAGAACCTCCTTCTGTTTGAAGTTGGTCGAAAATTCTTCTAAACTAAATAAAATTTATAAATGTACACATCACCTATCCTAGTTTTTAACTGCAAATTATATACAATATAAAAAATCAAAATACTTGCCTATGTTCAGCAGTGGATAGTAGATGGCTAATATGATGATAAAATTATTACTCGCCTTTTCTATTCGATAATTGTGCCTTAAAAAATAGTTTTATTTTTCCTTATTTATGTAATTTACTAAATCTAGTAAATTAATTATACTTAAAATATTTCTTTAACCAGTTTTCTGGTTTCAAAAGTAAACTACAAAACCGATTTTAATAAAAAATTTATGGGACTAATCTGTAAGTATATCCTTTGGAATGAAAAAGACTTTTCCAAATTGTTTTATAACTGACAGAGTTATGAGGTAACAAATATAAAGAAATACAACCAAATAGAGAACATCCTTCTTTTGAAGTTGGTTAAAAATTTAAATGTTCACGAAACTTTATTGAATTGCTATAATTCTATTTCTAGATCAATAATCTAATATGAGTATATATTTCAGATACTAAAACAACTAATGAAAATTAGTCAATCAGTTTCCGATTCAGAGCCCGGTATTCCTATTCCGATTGTATTTGTCAAGTGTCAAAATCATTTTGATGTATAATGAGAAAGTTCAATTTAGTTAATAATTAATATAAATGATAGGAGAATATATTGTGTCCTACTCCAAATAAAAAAAATTTAGACGAATTGAGATTGATAAATGTAAATTGAACTGTATTATATACTATGTTTTCTAAATCTAAAATTATCATAGTTATCATCATCATCATTTCAGCCATAATTCGTCCACTACTGGACTTAAGCCTCCCCCTCCATCATAGCATAAAGA